CGAGGAATTTGTGGTTGGGGCCAATTCCTGCCTGTCCAATCGTCCTGTGCCACCCCAGGAGAGATGTGGGATGTGGCAGTGAAGGAACAGTTCTRAGCAGTGGGAATTTGGGCTCCCCGGTGCTCCAGGAGGGAAGGGTTTGGGTCAGCACTGCAATTGGGGTGTCCCAGGGTGGGCTGGTGGCCTGGAGGACCTTTGCCACTCCCACTGGAGAGGTCAGGGCTGCTCRTCAGCTTCCAGGCCTGTTCTGAAACAGGATAATGGGCTTGGGGAACCCTAAATGGGTYCGTGTCTTGGGGAACCCAAAATTGGGTGTATCTCTTGGGGCATCCCAAAATGAGTCCATGTCTTGGGGAGCCCAAAAATGGACCCATCTCTTGGGAAGCCCCAAAATGGATTTGTGTCTTGGGGAACCCCAAAATGGGTCTGTCTCTTGGGAAACCCCAAAGTGGCTCTTGGGGAGCCCCAAAACAGGTCTATGTCTTGGGGAACCTAAAAATGAGTTGGTGTCTTGGGGAACCCCAAAATTAGTCCGTCTCTTGGAGAACCCGAAAATGGAACCATCTCTTGGGGAGCCCAAAATGGGTCCATCTCTTGGGGAGCCCTAAAATGCTTCGTGTCTTGGGGAACCCCAAAACAGGTCTATCTCTTGGAGCATGCCAAAATGGGTTTGTGTCTTGGGGCATCCTAAAATGGGTCTATGTCTTGGAGAGCCCCAACATGGGTCCAAATCTTGGGGATCCCCAAAATGGGTCCATCTCTCGGGGAGCCCCAACATGGGTCCAAGTCTTGGGGAACCCCAAAATGGGTCCATGTCCTGGGGCATCCCAAAGTCAGTTCACCTCTTGGGGCATCCCAAAACAGTTCCATCTCTTGGGGAACCCCTAAATGGTTTCATCTCCTGGTGACACAGCTCTGTTGGCGTGGGGTGACCCTTCTGTCCCCTGCTCCAGCTGGACACGGGGCTGGTTGCTGTTTCTGTGAACAAGGCAGGGCTGGGGCAAGGCCTAGGGGTATAAATACCATGGGCTAAGCCTCTTG